CCAACTCAAAAAAAAAAAAAAAACCAACTCTTTCTCGGTCATCACAGTGAAGCCCCAAGGAAAACTCTCGTGGCCCAGCTAGGTTCAGGTGCTGACCCCTGCCCCAATCCCTGTGGTCAGGGAGCTATGGTACTTGGATTAACTACACCTGGTCATCCGCTCACCTCCAAGCAGGGAGGTGAAAGCAAGTCAGAAGGGTTGCCTGTAACTAATACAGCGATGACCTCCTGCCACCTACCCTGCCCGATAGTACCATATTTCCACATAGCCATGCAGCCTGGTCTCATTTAATAATTCATGATCTCCAAATTCAGGTGGGTCCTAGTGTTGCCCAGCACAGATATTATCCCACCAGCTCCCTTCCAATTTCTACTTCCTAGTTCCTAGTTCTCCCATTTCTGTGGCAACCATTTTATTCCTCCTCCCTCTTCCCTAAACATCTATCACTCCTCAGCATCTACCATCTCGGCTGACCTTGACTCCTGCTAGCCTGAACAAACAGAAGCAGCCATGCTACTATCAGTGAATATTTACAGAGCATCCACCACATGCCAGGCATTATTCAAGGTGCTTGGCATACAGCAGTGATCAAGAGAGACAGTCCCTGCCCTGGAGGAGCTGACACTCTAGTGACAGAGAATAACTGATGTGGTGCTTAGGGTGTGCCAGACACAAAATGACCCTATGAGTTACACACTTTTATCGCACCATTTGACAGATGAAAAAACCGAGGCACAGAGAAGTTAAGAAACATGCCCAAAGTCATGCATCTGGCCAGTGGTAGAGTGAGAATTTGAATCCAGGCAGTCTGGAGACAGAACGTGACTCTGTTCTGTGTATATCTGAGAATACTTTTGACCAGTACCTGTTTATTCACCGTCATCCGTACCCATGTCCTCTGCTTTTCCACCCACTATTAAGGATGCCTCTATTCCCTGCTCCACGATTCTTTCATTCTCTTAGGCCAGTTGCCTTCACAAGATTGCAATTATGAACACGAGCAGCTCAGACATTCATCCTCACACCTTCAGGAACCGTATGGAAACCGGCTCTCCCCTGACCATGCCAGTGAGAATCCCGAGGAAGGCTCTGATTGGCTCAGCTTGTGTCACATGGGTATGGGATGGGCAAGGATACATGGTCCCTGCTCTTTCTAAGGCCAGTCCCACCCAGCATGCTCTCAGTCTCACCCCTGCACCTACTGAGGGACATCACTCCAGTGAGTCTCCCCTTTGCCAGTGTCTCCGCTCTTGATGGGATCTTCCTCCTGCAACATGCTACCATTTCTCCCACCTTAAATGAACCCCCTGGTCCCACTTCCCCTACAGTTGCTGCTCCATTTCTCTGATCCTTTACTGTAGATTACTCAAAAGAGTAGTGTATACTTGTGTCTTCCGTTCTCCTTCCAGTCTCTCCTGAACCCAGTCTAGGTTTGTGCCCAACAAGTCACCAAGCTGCCCCTGCCAAGGTCACCCATGACTCCACATGGCTAAATCCAATACGCAATGCTCAGTCCCCATTCCTATAGTGCCATCAGCAGCATTTGACATATTTGACCACCCCCTTCTCATTGAAATGGTTTGTTTACTTGGCTTCCCAAAAACCACATTGGTCTCTCAGTCTCTTGCTGGCTCCTTTCATCTAAACCCCCTCACCCTGGACTGAGGCTCAGTCCTCGGCTCTCTCTCCTCCCCAGCAACACACTTCCTCGAGGAATCTCATCAGGTACCATAGCTTTAAATACCATCTATAAATCAGCACCTGTCAACTACGTATCTCCAGCCTGACCTCCCCTCTAAACTCTAGACTTGAATTTCCAAGCACATTGGAAAATGGCTCAATTGGATCTCAGATTGAAGGGTTCCAAACTGAATTTCTCCTCTCCCCTGCACTCCAACCTGCTTTGACCACAGATTCCCTATCTTGGGAAATGACATTTCGGTGCTTCCTCGGGCACAAAACCTCACCATCATTCTTGACTCTTTTTCCCACAGCCAGTCAGTGTGCAAATCTGGTTGACTCTGCCAACAAAGTGTGTCCAGAATCCAACCTCTTCTTTATATTTCTAAGCTATCATTCTCTAGTGTAAGCCCTATAAAAGCAGGAATTTTTGTCTGTTTTATCCATACCTATGTCTCCAAGGTAGCCATAGTAGTTGCTTAATATTTGTTGATTGAATAAAATATAAGGATAGTAGAGTAAAAAAGTACCTCAGAGGCCAATAGGTCCACCCTCCTCACCCCTAAGCTACAGGGGAGGGAAATGTCCAGGATCACACAGAGTCCATAAAGTAGGAAAATGTCCAGGATCATACAGTGAGTCACTAAGACTGTGAGTTCAGATGCAATAGTTTCTTTCTCTCCTCCTCCTCCTCCCCCTCTTCTTCCTCATTCTCTCTCTTCCACCTCTATTTCCTGTTCCATGATTCTTTCATTCTCTTAGGCCAGTTGCCTTCACAAGATTGTAATTATGAACTCAAGCAGCTCAGACATTCATCCTCACATCTTCAGGAACTGTATGGAAATTGGGATCTCCCCTGACAAAGCCAGTGAGAATCCTGGGGAAGGCTCTGATTGGCTCAGCTTGTGTCACATGGGTACGGGATGGGCAAATCTGATTGGTCCACCTGGAAAATGTGCCTGCCCCTGTAGCTAAAAACTGGTATCTGTTAGCAAGGCATGCAGAGGGTTTGTGGGAGAGGGTCAGTGGCCAGACACCAACTTGCCCAGCCTTCTGATGGAGGGCCCCCCAATTTTATTTTGTGCAGGTGGAGGTTCTGGCACTTGGAGCTCTGCAAGGCCATTGCTCCCCTGCAGGCTGCCTGGGATGCCTTCTCCCAGCCTGTTCCAGACAGCTGTAACCAGATGCTGATCCAACTTCTCTTGTGTGGCTCCCTGGCTGCTACTGCCGCGGGTATGACCCATCACTGGCTGGTGTCCTCGCTGCTTTATCCTCTAGGACCTTCAGCCATGATGGCTATTGTCTGTGGCCTCCTGGTCTTCATGGGTCTGGGCCTGGTGCCCCCAGTCCGCTGCCTGTTTGCACTCAGTGTGCCCACCCTGGGCACAGAGCAGGGCCGCCGGCTGCTGCTGTCATATAGTACTGCCGCCCTGGCCATTACTGTGGTGCCAAACGTCCTGGCCAATGTAAGCGCAGCAGGACAGGTGCTGAGGTGTGTCACCGAGGGCTCCCTGGAGAGTCTGCTCAACACCACTGACCAGCTGTGTGCAGCATCCAGAGCTCTGGACCCTGCAGGCCGAGCGGGCAGCCGAGACCTGACATTCGAGACCCAGGGCAATGGCTCTGCCTTCTGGCTTCACATGCGTGGGGTCACACAGCGGGTCCTGGAGGATTTCTCTGGCCTGGAGTCCCTGGCCCAGGCAGCAGCACTGGTGACTCAGCAGGTGGTCACAGGGCTGTTTGTGCTGGGCCTGCTGGTAGAGTCAGCCTGGTACCTGCATCGCTACCTGACGGACCTGCAGTTCGACAATATCTACGCTACACAGCAGCTGACCCAGCAGCTGACACAGGCCCAGGCCACACACCTGGTGGCCCCTCCACCTGCCTGGCTACTCCGGGCAGCCCAGCTGAGACTGTCCCAGGAGGAGCTTCTGAGTTGTCTCCTGAGGCTGGGGCTGCTTGCCCTGCTCCTGGTGGCCACAGCTGTGACAGTAGCCACAGACCACATGGCCTTCCTCCTGGCACAGGCGGCCGTGGACTGGGCTCAGAAGTTGCCCACTGTGCCCATCACGCTCACGGTCAAGTATGATGTAAGTGTGAAAGTATGAAGATGAACAAAGAGCCATTTCCTTGAGGGAAGGGGGAGGATTGGTTCAACCTTTGACTTGCAATTAAATTTCGCTTGCCAAGTCATAACCGTTGAATGGCCTCTAAGGCCCTGGGCTATGAGTAGATGGACTTGAGTAGATGGACTCACTTGATTCCCACAATAGCCTATAACGTTCTGTTTTCAAGGGATTCTATTTTCACTCCCAGTTTCAGGTAAGGATGCTGATATCCAGAGTCCTTAAGATAACCTTCCCCCAAGGTCACTCCTTTGACAAGTGGCAGCATGTTCTAGACTCATTTTCCTCATTTGTATAAATTGGATCGATCCTCTTCACCCTACGAGGCTAGTATGAGTCTTAAAGTGTGGTCATGTCTCTAAAAACTCCATGCCACATTAAGAGATGTTTGATAAATAGTGGTTATTGTTAATAGTGCACATCTGTGTGAATTAGACTGGAGGAGGGCTTTGGAAGGTCTAGGTCAGGTGTCAGCCAATCATGGCCCCAGGATAAATCCAGCAACTTCCTGGTTTTGTAAATAAAGTTTTATTGGAACTCAGTCACGCCATTTGCCTATGTATTGCCCATGGCTGCTCTACCCCACAAAGCCCAAAATATTTACTATTTTAATAATAGTATGTAAATGTCTAATGTCTACTTACGATTGGATGTATTTACTATCAGATCAAGAGTTGTGTTTTTTTGTCTTTTCTTTTGCCACAAAACTTTTTATTTTTTTATTTTTAACAGTGAGATCTCAGCCAGGCATGGTGGTTCACACCTGTAAACTCAACCTCCAGCCAGTTAGGTCTTATAATAGTAACTATCAGCATTAACCAACCCTACTTAGCTTTTCTTCATATCTGCACCCATGCTTTAGGAGGCTGAGGTGGGAGGATCACCTGAGCCCAAGAGATTGAGGCTGTGGTGAGCCATGATGGTGCCACTGCACTCCAGGCTGGGTGACAGTGAGACCCCAATGAAAAAAAAAAAGGAAGAGACAGAGAGAGATCTCACACAAAAGTCCACTGTATAGAACATAACAAAGTGGGAGGATCACTTGAGCTCAGGAGTTTGAAACCATCCTGGGCAACATAGTGAAACTTGTTTCTACAAAAAACAAACAAACAGAAAAAGAATAAGCCAGGCATGATGGCGCACACCTGTAGTCCCAGCTGCTCAGGAGTCTCTACCTAAGACTCCCATCAGCCAAAGACAGCCCAACACCTGTCTCCACCCTACTTCATGCTAGCTCTATAATCGTAGCAGAAATTTTTCTTCTTATCCAATTTTACCTCTTATTGAAGTAAATAAAACAATCAAATCCACCATACTTTGCCTAGGTGCTATTACCAGTTTAGTCACAGCAATTTATGCATTAACACAGAATAATATTTTTAAAAATCATCTCTGATTCTCTGGGAAAGCCTGAGTCAGCCATGCCCATTCTCTCCCTCCAGCCAGTTACGTCTTATAATAGTAACTATTGGCATTAACCAACCCTACTTAGCTTTTCTTCATATCTGCACCCATGCTTCAGGAGACTGTGGTGGGAGGTTCACCTGAGCCCAAGAGATTGAGGCTGCGGTGAGCCATGATAGTGCCACTGCACTCCAGGTTGGGTGACAGTGAGACCTCAACTAAAAAAAAAAAAAAGGCGGGGAGAGAGAGATCTCACACAAAAGTCCACTGTATAGAACATACCAACGTGTCAGACCCTGAGCTAACAATAAAAATAGACTATATTTATCAAGTATTCATGATACACTAGGAAAGTGTTTTTCAAACTGCACAAAATCAATGTAATCAATTTAGGGGATCATGGTCAGCTTTTAAAAAATACTAGAAAATTAATGGAGTATATTGTAGGTGATAAGGGTTAATATTGTTTTGTGAATTTCTCTTCAATTAGAATACAATCTGTGCTTTGAAGGTAAAATGCATTTCTTACTGTAGAGAAAGGTGTCAGGCAATGTTCTGTGTTCCCTGATTTACTGTATTTCATAAAATCTAAAAGGCCGCCAATTACAAGTCACATCATTAATTTTATGTCTCCTTGGGCCAGAAAGCACTACCAATTAAACCTTGACACAATGCTTTCTTATCCCTTAGAATTTCAGTTGTATTTGTACAGAATAGTTCACACCTTATCTCATACAGTCTCATTTTATATCTTTCTCATGTATACATAAAAAGAAAAATAGGAAAGTAACTGGTTAGTTTTCCTAAAACACGCTCCCATACGAGCCCGACCAACTCTTCTGAATGACTCGTGCCAAGAAGCCTGTGTCGTGTGTCTGAGGCTTCTCCCTGAAGCCATTCTCTGTGCCTTTAAGTGCAGAGACACCCCACAATTGTCTCCAGCATTTTCTTCCAAGCCATGGACACCCACTCTACAAATTTCGGTGCCAGCACTCTCTGATCCTCTAGGGAAGCCTGAGTCAGCCATGCCCACTCCTCATGGCTTTAATGTTCTTTTATCTTTTCCGGGGGCTCAGGGAGTATCTCCTACTTTCAACAGAAGGATCTAGGGCACAGCAGGCCAGCCTTCTGCTCCTGGGTTAGCGACTCAACATAACCCAGCTCTGTTTATTCGCACAAACCTCCTTCTGGAGGTTGTTCCTTGGTGAGAAAATACAGGTAAGGGTGATCCCTCAAAAGCGAATATTTGCTTCTGTAATGTCACATGCATGTCCAGCTGCTCTCCCCTCAAAGGCACTGCAATCATTCACTTCTAAGCTAAACCAAAGCAGGATTATTTTTTGGGACATCTTGAAATGGCCACCAGTCTCCACCCACATGCCGACAACGCATATGACCTAAATGAGATAATGGCATGAGCCCTCAGGCCAAGTTTCTGCCTGCACATGCAGGGTCAATGGCCTTGGCTGCTGGACACAGTTACACATTTTATGGACTTTAAGTCGCCTTCTGATTTCAAAGATGCTAAAATATGGAAAAATATGCATCTCGAAATGGATGAAGTAAGGTAGTTCCTGTCAAAGCCACCGTGATCCTATGAGATAGATGTTACTATTATCATACCCATTTTATGGATGAAGATATTGAGGCTCAGAGTGGAGGAACTTGCCCAAATTCACCCAACTCATAAGTGGCGGACCAGGGCTGCACTGTGATTCTGTGGGGCCCAGACATGTTTACCTTCATGGGGCCCATCCTTCCTAAACAATCGATGATGGCAATGGTAAAAGACAAATATATTAATATTAGCTCATGAGACATAGTCTTCCGCTTAAAAGTTCATTTTGTTCTTCTGATTGTATATGAAATAAAACATTTCCGTGGGATCCTACAACTGTGGGCCCTAGCACTTGCCTACTGTGCTTCACAGAGAATTAGACCCTGGCAGACAAGGATCCATCCTAGTCTGTCTCCAAAGTTCCAGTGGTTAGCCTCTGACCTCCCTGCCTCTCCAGATACCACTCTTTCATGTTCTGACATACCCATGGAAACCGTAGAGCTGGGTGCTTATGAGCAGGTTAGGGCGGCCCACCCCAGCTGGGACTGAGCCCTGGGTGGGCCGCAGGTAACCCATGGTGGCTTTGGCCTTCTCAACTTTTCACAGGGCCTCCACCCCACAGGACTGTGCATATTTGGTGGGACTAGTCACTAATGGCTTGCAGGAGTAAATGCCCATAAATGTGAATTTGTTTTCTTTAAAATATTCTGCTCAAAGATAATAATGGCAATAGTAACATTTGGATGGTGCTTTTTTTATTTGACAAAGCCTGTTTCAGACTCCCGTTCTCATTTGGTCCTCCTCAAACCCTGGGAAGCGAGGGTTATTTCTGCACCCGTTCTGCTGATGGAAGCTTGGAAGGCTGGGTGAGCCTCCCGAGTGGTGCGGGACAGGCAGTGGCGGGTTGTCTGTTGACTGACGTTTTCCTCCTTTTTGAAGGCGGCGTACACCGTCCTGAGCTTCATCCCCTTCCTATTCAACCAGCCGGCTGCAGAGAGCCGCTTTCAGTCCAAGCACACTTCCCACCAGTGGGAGCTCGGCCTCACCTCGGCGCACTGCATGCTGCTGCCCGCCCGGCGCCCTCGCGCCGCCGCTCCCCTGGTCGCCGGGGCCCTGCAGCTCCTGGCCTGCTGCACGGTGCTCCTGGAGGCCTATGCCCGCCGCCTGCGGCACGCCATCGCCGCCTCTTTCTTCACCGCCCAGGAGGCAAGGAGGGTCCGCCACCTGCAGGCCCGGCTCCAGCGAAGATACGACAGGCAGCGAGGCCAGCAGTTGCCGTCCAGGACCCCCTCCTGCACCCGACATCCGGGCCTGCCTGCAAGCCCCGGTGTGGATAGACAGGCTGGCGGCATGCTGGACCCCTGGAAGAACCAGGAACAGTGTGGCAGAGCTTTGGAGTTGCCCAGACCAGACCGCAGCTGTAACCTTGGCCCTTCTGTGGCATCCCTCTGTGACCTCCGGCAGGTCACCTCACCTCTCTGAGCCTAGGTTTCTACATCTGCATAATGACAACGAATGTGACCGACTTGGCACAAAGGAATGTGGTAAGGAGGTATTGGGCATGATAGGCCTGGATCAGCAGTAAGGGACTATACAAAGGTCAAGTCAAGGATTACGTTCTTCCAGGCCCTTGGTAGGTGGGTGAGGGCTCTCAGCTGCATCACCTGCCTTCCCTGCTAGATGGAGACTTTGCATCACGAACTTACCTGAATGCTCCTGGATCTTAAGTATATGCCTCGGAATCCTCCAAGCTTATTTATGGTAATCTAAAATGTTGGTTGTATAAATAAATGTATTTATTAAGTCTTAGATTATGTTATTCCTCTGCCTCAGATTCCTTCAGGGACTTTCTGTCTAGGATTGCCAGGCTTAACAAATAAAAACACAGGACATCCAGTTCCATTTGAATTTTTAATAAACAACAAATACTTGTTTAGTTATAAGGAAAACTTAAGACAAATTAAATTCAATAGAGTTTAACTGGGTGAAGAGTGTAGCCCCCAGAACCAAAATAGGTTCAGAGCGATTCTGGGGCTGCCACAAGGCTGGTAATATTTATAAATGGAACAAGGAAAGTGAGGTACAGAAACAGCTGATTGATTGGCTGCAGCTTGGCATTGCCTTATTTGGACAGGGCTTGAACAGTTGACTGCCTGTGAGGGCCAGGACTGAAACCCAAGTAGTCAGACAGCCACAGTCCATGATCTTAACTGGCCTCTCTACTAAATGTACTGTCCCTGTTGACAACCACACTCAAATCAGTTTATCTCTTTAGCTCTTCAGACATAACCAGGATTATAAGTTGGGTGGGTACTCATTCTTTTGTTGTTAAAGAGCACTGATATGTCACTAGTTATTTATCCCCCCCATAGATGGCCAGGTGGTGTCTAATTTTTGTTATTGTAAACAATACTGCAATGGACATCTTTGCACATGCCTCCTTATCCACATCAGACGTTTTCCTTAAAGGCGATGTAGAATTTTCTGAAATACACAGGCTACTTTTGAGGTTTTCATTTTCAAGTGTGTTAGTTGGTTTGTCTAAGATGGCCCCCAATGACCCCTTCCGCCTGGTGTTCATGACCTTATGTGATCTCCTCTCCTTGAACATGAATAAGACCTAGACTTGCTGCTAGCTAATCAAATATGAAACAAAACGATGAGATGTCACTTCTGTGATTAGGTTACATGGAGTCACAATTTCCATTTTTTTTTTTTTGAGTTAGAGTTTTACTCTGTCACCCAGACTGGAGGGCAGTGACATGCTCATAGCCACCCCAGCATCGACCCACTGGACTCAGGGGATCTTTCTGCCTCAGCCGTCCAAGTAGCCAGAACTACAGGAGCACGCTACCACGCCCAACTAATTTTTTGATTTATTGTAGAGATGAGGTCTCACCATATTGCCCAGGCTGGTCTCAAACCCACAGGCTCAGGCAATCCTCTCACCTCAGCCTCCCAAAGTGCTGGGATTACAGGCTTGAGCCAGCACGCCCGGTACTTTTTTTTTTTTTTTTTTGAGTTGGGACTCTCACTCCATTGCCCAGGCTAGAGTCCATTGGCACGATCATGGCTCACCACAGCCTCGGCCTCCTGGGCTCAAGCGATTCTCCTGCCTTGGCCTCCCAAAGTGCTGGGATTACAGGTATGAGTCACTGCACCCAGCCCATAACTTCCATCTTGCTAGCTAACTTTCCCTCTTGCTTTCTTCTTGGCATGCACCCTTGATGAAGCAAGATGTCATGTTGGTGACCCCACAGAGAATAAACTGAGGTCACCTCTAGCAATAGCCAACTGAGGTGCCAGACCTATAGCCCTCAAGGAATTCCATTCTGCCATGACCTTCCAAGTGAGCTTGGAGGTGGAATCTTCCCCTTTTGGGTCTTCTTAAGACCCAAGACCTGACTGACACCTTGACTGTAGCTGGTCAGAGACCCTGAATCAGACTCAGGGAAGCCACATCCAGGCTCCTGAGACACGGAAGCTATGAGATAAGAAGTGTTGTTTTAAACCACCACATTAGTGATCATCTGCTATGCGTGCGTACTTAAGGAATACAGCTGGGATTCCCCACAGCCAACCCTGAGACAAGGGTTTACATGCAGGTAGCTTAATTAGGAGGTGAGTCCAGGAAGCACCAGGAGGGGAGTGAGAGAAGACAGGGAAAACAGCATAACCAGGATGCATGACTGAGCAGGTGAGTGCTGTGGGCAGCTGACATTCAGTCCCTCTGGGGCCTTCTGGGAAATGGTGGTTTTCCCCCAGCGGACAGGGAATCTGGGTATTTATTCCCTAACTCTCAGCTGTCCCAGTGAGAGTTAAGAATAAAGTTTTTTCCTTCTATATTCAACACTCAACACAGAACACTTCTGAGATCAAAGCGTGTGGGGACATCGCGATTCTCCCATGGACACCAAATGCAGAGCCTCTGATTCAATTCTACTCCGACTCTATTGACCTGCAGTCAGAATCAGGCCCCATAGGCTAAGGGCCCTGTCCCACAAGACGGTCCCCACTTCAGATACCAATTGCAAGTAGTAGATTGCCACCTACTGGCTATACACTGGGGCGGGCTCCCATGACTTTCTGCTTGGGTATGATAATTTGCTGGAATGGTTCATAGAACTCAAGAAAGCACATTTACCCACTTTTTTTTTTTTTTTTTGAGTTGGAGTCTTGCTCTGTCGCCCAGACCGGAGTGCAGTGGCCGCTCCCGGCCATTGCAGCCTCGACCTGCGGGGCTCCGGCGATCCTTCCGCCTCCGCCTTCCGAGTAGCTGGAACTACAGGCGCGCGCTACCAAGCCCGGCTAATTTTTGATTTCTTGTAGAGATGAGGTCTCGCCAAGTTGCCCAGGCGGGTCTCAAACCCGCGGGCTCAGGCCATCCCCTCACCTCAGCCTCCCAAAGGCGCGGGATGACAGGCTGAGCCACCGAGCCCGGCTTTACCCCCTTATGAAGAAGGTTACAACGAATACTGATGAGCAGTTGAATGGAAGACGCGTATAGGGCGAGGACAGGGGAAGAGATGCAGAGCTTCCTGACCTCACTAGTTGTGCCACCCTTGGGAACCTCTACGTGTTTAGCCGCCTGAAGCTCTCCGAATCCTGCAGTCCAGGGATTTCTATGGAGGCTAAACCACGTAGATATGATTGACTACTAATTCCATCTCCAACCCATCTCCCCTCCTTGGAGGATGGGGGGTGATGCTGAAATTTCAAAGCTTCTATGACTTGGCCTTTCTGGTGACACTCCCATCCCTCAGGAAATTCCAGGGGACTTAGGACCGCTGTGTCAGACATTCCTGTCACCTCAGAAATTAAAAAGGTCTGAGTTCTGTCAGGAACAGCAGTCAAAGGCCAAAGATTAGAACAAAAGATTCTCCTAGCATCCTTATCTACAAGGAGATCTGTGTCAGGAACTGGAGGTAGAATGTATGCAAGAGATGGATGACGTATTGCTTCACACACTGGCCCAAGGCTGCTTCTGGTGATGGGGGGAGGGAGAAGATGCCTTCCGAGATGGTCTCCAGAGCTCACAAGAGGATGCCCACAGCCTGTGTGGGAACTGGACATGCCAAGTGGACATGGGTGGGGCTCTGACAGCATCTTCTCCCCCATCTAAATTGGGAAGAATGTAAGAGTGGGAACAGTAAGTTCAGATTCCACCCTTAGCTGCTATATGATGTTGAACGCATCGCCAAATCTCCCTGTGCCCCGGGTTCCTTTCCCCTTTGTTGGGGATGACAGAGGAACCTCACATCTGTGTGAGGTAAGCATGGAAGGAACATCTTGGCCCTTAACATTCTTGGTTTCCACTAACATTCTATTCATTTCTTCAACAAATATTTGTTGAACACCTATTATTTGCCAAGCCCTGTGCTAGACTCTGATGATACCGTTTGCGCAAGCTCTATAGGGGGCTTGCATTCAAGAGATTGGCAGCAAACAAACTGAAAACTAAGTAACCAAGATCATTTCATAGAGAAACAGAGGCTACGGAGGGTGTGAGATAGGGTGGCCATGGAAGACCTCCCTGAGCAAATGTCATGTGAGTTGAGATTCAAAGAACGAGCCAGAACTAAGCATGCAAAGCGAAGGGGAAAGACCATTCTAGGCAGAAGAAACTTCACAAATGTGATGTTTCCAGAGGACAGAGGTAGTTAGATAGCTTGCCTGAGGCTCTGACTTTTTTCAGGAACCCCTCACCAGACCATCTGTTGGGCGACACGCCCAAGGAAGAGAGAAAAGTGATAGCTAATTCTAGCCTTGCTGACAACCCCACTTAGTCTCAGGACCTTATGCTCTGGCCTAGGGATACAGGAGCACAGAGCTGGGCCCCCGTGTCGTGGTATTTTCTTCTGTGTTCTATCCATAGCCTTCTGGGGGTAGGCATGTGGGTCATGATTGTGCCCACAGATGAGAACCTGAAGTTCAGAGAGGATTATGGGATTTTCCTAGAGTCACAGTGGTAAAGTTAACTTTTTTCCTACCCAAGGAAGACACCCGGACTTCCAAACAAGTGATGGGGGAGGGGCCTTATGTCCCTTGTCTGAAGCAGAGGAGCTGGCCCTGGGGTCTTCCAGGTAGAGACCTTGAGTTGTCAAAGGACTTGAAAAGGTGGCAATGCTGGGCGCCCTCTGCTGGCTGCCATAGGCTCATCCTCGGGACAAGAGTCAAGAAGGAAGGAAAGGGGAAGCGAGGACCAAGTCCCCTACTGTCTACCTCGCTCCCGGCCTGGAACTGCATTCAAGTGCTGGGTTCCAATCCTACGCCAGCACGTGCTGGCTAGGGCAACAATGTCAGCAAATTCCTCATCCGCTCCGTGTCTCAGCGTTTCCAAGTGTAGACTGTGGGTCGTGATGCCTAAGTGCTGAGTCAA